TTTTTTATTTTTTTTTATTTAGGCAATTATCCATCATATTATACAATAATAGGCCCCTACATAGCATACTTTTACAATAAAATTCTGAATTCATAAAATTGGATAACTACCAAGCCCAAGGATATAATTATACACAAAAAGCATGACTAGCACACACAGTGACACACTACGACTACCATTAGGCCTAGTATTATCTAGGTGATGGCACTGATAAAAGTATCAGGGTGTCAATGAATTAGTATCAAGTCAAATACTGTAAATGTGGAGTAATTACCCACCATTACTAGTGGCAGTAGTGCATCTACACTTTCCTAGTATGCCGTTGCGTGGGACGCATTTGTTACTGTTAGATGGTCATGTGTCGTTTGATATGTGGTACAGTCAATGGGTACAGTATTTACCAAACCCGCGTGATTTCTCGAGATTCATCATAGGCAAGATGGCAGCGAACAAGCGAAAACAGGATGAGAAACATCTGAAGATTTTACGTGAAATGGTGGCATTGCCACATAACAAACAATGTTTTGATTGCCACCAAAGGGGACCTACATATGTCAATATGACGATAGGATCATTTGTATGCACCTCCTGTAGTGGTGTACTGTAAGTATAAGTAAATGCGTGCATTGAAAATGACAGACGGTTTCGTAGACGTATTGCGTTGACAGTGTACCCACCCAGTGCTGCCCGGCATCCTGGTAGTGGTAGGTGTGCCGTTGTCTGCAACATGTAATTCGCGTTACACAACAAAATCAAAGGTTTAAAATGAAAATTATATAAACTGAATATAGGTTTTTACTACGTACACGTTTGAAACGTGCCTGAACGCTGCACTTTGCATGGAAACACTAACAAGTAACGCTGAGAGGGTCTATGTCCCCCGGTGTACTGCCGGAACGTACCCTGGGTACGGTCCGGTATACCGGAACGTACTCTGGTACTATCTAATATGCCGGACCGTACCTCGCCTACTCCCCTAACGAATCTAGGGAGTCGCCTACGCCTACTCCCTCACCCGAACCCGAACCCTAACCCTAACCCTAATCCTAACCCTAACCATATCAAATAGTGACCAGGGTACATTCCGGTATACCGGACCGTACCCAGGTTACGTTCCGGCAGTACCCTGTGGGACATAGACCTTATGACCACAAGTAACATACAAATTACAATGTTTATTAACAAAACCTCACCACATCAAGTAACCAATCTCTCTGTAACTAATGGTATTAAAATCAAATATTGTTCTGTCCAATAAAGTGAATATAGTGAAACGGCCTAAGTAACAGCAGCATGTTATGAGACAGTCACAGTAAGTATATCAGTATATCATGCGTGTGATGACTGACAGCCAATCATCATTGCAATGTAGGAAGTCTAAATAATGAGTAACAACGTTTATATTATTTGCTACATTTCACTAGGTATCAAAGTAATGCAAAGTTGATAGTTTAGAATGCATGTGGGGAAAACATAAACCAGTCTAGCTTGGCCGATCTAGCATGAACATGCAAAAAGGATGTTGTTATCTCGCTGAGACATATAGGTCAAGTGTTCATATGAGTATAAAAGTTATAATACTTATATGCCCACATGTTTGTCAATCTTAGACTTTGCACACCAAAACTATTTCTGTGCCACAGACTTATCTACATGTGGTTTCCGTACTGTTAATTTTCATATGCATTGTATTGCATTTGGTATGCACTTTTCTACAAGTCAAATTAGCAGAGTAACACCACACATCTGTGTGATATAGCATATATAGGTAATTGGTTATACAACCTCATCTATCTGATTCTAACTTTACTACTATAGTAGGTAGGTCTCTGGTAATTCTTTTCTGGGCCAGGTAGTTATCTAATACTGTTTTTACTGGTGGGAGTGCTTCCATGACTGCATTGTAAAACAGCAATGTAAAGACAAAACGTCCACAAAATCTGTCATAATGAGAAATTGCTGTAGGTATAAGTACATTGTTTAATTGGTGTTGTGTAAACTGCATTGTAAAACAGCTATGCAGCGTCAAAAGCGTTCGCAAAATCTTTCTTCATGACATGTTTCTGTAGGTATAATACATGATCTGATTAGTGCTGTGTTAACGTAGCAGTTCTTGGCATTTATACATGAAATAATAGCGTTGAAGAAAATCAGAATCTTGATAAAAATAGTAGTTGTTAAAATTTATGCATGCATGTGCTAATCGTAAGGGGCAGAAGCAGTACTTGCGGGGGTGGCTGTGTTAAAGATCAATGTTTACATAGTTGCATTCCAGTTTTAAGTACGATGTTTAAGCAACATGTAAATGGGTGTTTTGCATGCTTATAGACGAGGACTAAATCCTCCACATCGTGTAAAGTCTATCTCTATGACAAGCTTTTCGCCAGAGGAGATGGAGCTGCTGAAGAAACGTGGCAATGATGTGAGTGGCAACTGTACAGATATTTTCTGGTGTCTTCTTGTATGTGTAGCTTTCGTAATATGCAAAGCATGCATTCATTGCCTGAGTTGTACAGTAATACCCTGCATTATGATAACTCTGGTTACGTAAATTCGTCCATATATGTAATTTGGGAATTAAGACCACTTTACTCACGATACGGAATGAAAATTCACTCTGATGTCATTTTTAAAAGAAATGAACGGGATGTTTTATATCGAAAACTTCCTATCCTGTGAAATGATTAAATAGTCAATACATGTATGTCATGAGCTCGCCAGTATTTACTTGCATTCGTGTTTGTGCATGTATTAGCGGAAATAGGGGAATTACCCATTTCTTTTGGTCGAAAACCCTCATAGAAATGCATCTCCAATTATATAATGGAGGTCAATGGGATATCATAATTTGGATTATGGAATTTCACATTAAGAACGTGTTTTCTAGGATGCAAGGTATTGCTCCTGTACATTGCCTAGTGATGATGTCATATCCTACATACTACAGCTACTGACTAAAGAAACAGGATCTAAGTGTGATTTTCAATCTCATAAATTTAATCAATTATTCACTATAAATTCATGGACCGTAACCAACATATATAAATTTTTAGAACAGGGTAGAAATCTGAACATAAAAAACTCTTTATGTGCATGATATGATCATAACAGAATCTAGTGTCTCCTTTATAGGAATATTACAAAAAGCACAAGATGTATTTAAGGTGGAATTTTAGGTGGGTTTTAAGATTAATTATTTTTGTGTGTGTTTCATTGTTGTAGTACTGTAGGAAAGTATGGTTGGGACTGTTTGACTCTCGGACACAAACAGAACCTGAGTCTAAAGACGAACAAAAAGTAAAAGACTTCATGATGCATAAATATGAAAAGAAAAGGTGGTAAGTATGCAGCAGCAGACCTGATATAAGTTATGGCAAACCTTGGATAAATGTGCTTCTCTCCTTCATTCCCTTAACTTGTGTCACATAGTATGTAATGCACCTCTGCTAATGCAGTTGTAATCTGTTATAATTGTAATGACACAATACTGTACAGATGTACAAGAGTAAGAGTAGTGGCCAATGCTCTGTGATCTATCTGCATGCTGTCTGATTGACGTACATGTTATGTGTAAGATACACGCACCATGTGTAACGTGCACACATGTGCTACAGCTAGCATTATGCTATATTGTATATTGCTATATGCTATATGCCATATGTACTATTGATAGATATGTTGTGTGTACAGGTATGTGCCCCCAGAGCAGGCATTTCAGGAACACCCACCCACGCCAAATTCCATACCCAGTGACTCGTCGTCAGGTACACCAACGTCCATCAAATCATCAAATCAACAGCAACCCCAGGTATGTACCAGTGATTCATCAACCGTGATCAAACTACGTGCCATAGTACTAAGTTTCTAACTCAGTGGTTCTTAAGCCCTGGCTCTCGAGCTAAATTTCACCCGCCTCGCCTTTTTAAGTTGATCGCCAAGGCTTGCGATTGACTGTCTAAGCTCTCTGTGTTGTATCGTATCGCAGCGTCAAGTTATGCAAGTTACAGGTCGTAATACAAGATGTTATTCACATGAAAGGTTTCATCAGTGAAATGTCACCGAATTGTACAAATCCTTAATCGGATGTCAAATTATTTTGGGTGAGATTATGAGCATTCATTATACTACTCTAACGAGCAGTGGCTCTTATTACAGGGAAGCTGCTTTTAAAAGAAAGTGTAGGAATTATGTAACGATGTGGAAGTAATTTAGTCAAGGGGTCAATGCACCCATGTCATCAGACATATATTATTCATATCGTTAATGATTACCATGTAGTGCCAAATGTAGAAGTGCTGTTGCTAGGTTTATACGTTTGTAGGACCATTAAACATGAAAAAAACAAAGCCAATATAATGGCACCGTGGGTGGCTTGGTTGTCAGGATAATAAAACCTGTCTAATAAAACAATAAATGGAATAGTTACAGTAGTATTCCATATGTTAATATATATTGACATATGGAATAGTTACAGTAGTATATACTAGTATTCCATATGTCAATATATATTGACCGAATCTTGATATTCTGTATACGTAATATAGGTTGATGTGAGGTATTTATAATTTGTTAGTGTGAGAATGACATCTAGAGAAACTGAGCCTACTAACTACTCCTAGACTATAAACTTACCAGATTATATAAAATGACAAATTTATAAGAGTGAGCGAATTTCTTTTGAAGTGAGAGAGCATTATGTGCTTTTAGGGGCTACATGAGTTGATTATACCGCTTTTGTGAACTGTTCATTTTTTGCAGCCTCTAAACAGGCCACGAGGGGGATCAATGCCTCTCCAGCAGCCATTTCAGCAACCACAGCAACAACTACAGCAGCAGCAGCAGCAACAGCAGCAGCAGCAACAACAACAACAACAACAACAACAACAACAACAACAACAACAA